TTGGTGTTTTGTCATGAAATGACAAAACCTGATCTACCGTTTTACAACAGCCATTAATATGCTGCAGGTGTGTTAAAATGTTATAAATACCCATAGCCTGGAAATGATAGCAAGCCTGTGGGTTACTTTTTAACACTTTTGATTCAACCCTTCCTCACCTACAGAACAGGCAGAAGTAGTGCTTCTTTATCCAGCACAGAGAGCTGAAGCACACCATGCATTGAGAGTGTAAAGGCAAGAGCAAGTTTGATCATTTGTCCCATGTCTGTGGGACACACTGTATGTTGATTAGCTGTCATTCCCACTCATGTGATGCTGTCTAGGAAAGAAAGCTGGATTTATTTTTTCTTGAGTCTATTACCTTAGCTTATTTATATAGAAGTATTTCCATGCATGAGTAAATGGAGACACACCCATGCTCTGTCAAGCAGAGATGATACAAAAATGGGTTTGATCTGGAGTGGATAACAGAAACATAATGAGGTAAGGGGAAAAAAAGTATAATTCAGTAACAAAATTAAATATTGGAATTAACCGACATGTAGGAAAGAAATGATTCATGACTCATACCATGAGGGAAATTAAGCATTGGAACAGGTTGGCCCAAAACATGAGAAACGTCTGTCCTTGGAGGTTTTTAAGATGCAGCTAGTCAAGCACTAAGGCAACTGTTCTGAGTTCAGTGTTCACCCTTCTTTGACCAAGAGGCTGGACAAGAGACACTCCAAGGTCCCTCCTAAGCTGGACAATTTAGTGATTCTATAAACCCTGACAGGGCTTCAAACCAGGAATATCAGCACAAGACAGGAATGTGTTAATGCATCCAAAAAGTAAGGAAGATGCTTAAGCAGGAAAGGAATGGACTGATGAATAAGACAGATGTCTAATGCCTTTATATAACTCTGAGTCTAGCAGCCTCCTCACATCAAAAGGAATTGGGCAGAGGTTGCTGCAAGTGATGTGTGACTGTGAGCTCAGCAGAATGATCACTGCAAAAACTCTCATTAAAAGAAAAAAAACTATTAGAATTACTTCCTTCAGCAAGCAGTTTAGGAAAAATACATTAGCAACTTCTGGTGTTCCTCTCTTAAAGTTCAAAGCACAAGGACATGGAGTCCAATTAATAGATGGATAGTAAAGAACCACCAAATAACTGGTTCCCTTGTACCTGAAGATTTCAACAGTGTTCTAGCAAGATAAAAAATTAGCAAGACTCAGCAACTCTGTAGGTATGTACATTTTAGAAATACTCAGAATTTTCATAAATAACAATCAAAAATATTTTGGAAAAATAAGATACTAAACCAAGCCCTAATGATCAGAGTCTGGAATAATAATTTAAATATTAAAAAAATTAACTTTCTTCAGTCTTCTACATATTTCTTAGCTTATCTGTGGAAGCATTTGATGCCAACTATTGAAAACATTTCTGCGTAAGATGGATATCAGGTACTATCAAGCTTGGCAAGTTGCAATATACACATCACATTATGGTCTTTACGTTGTCATGTTTTTCCCCTTTGCATTTGAGCTCCTCATTCAAAGGCCCTGCACTTTGCATATATGCAACATTTTAGAAGTGATAGCTAGCATACAAATAACTTCAGCTCTAAGCCTGAATAATTAATGGCAAGAACGTCTGCAAAGGCACAAATCTATTTCTCCCCAAAGCTGCCAAAATCACATAAAATTATTTCACTATTCCACATCAGAATGGAAAACTGAAATGCTTTGTGAGAAAGTGATGAATTTAAAGAACAGGTTGAAACATCCTGGTAACAGTGTCATATGCACTTCATCTGGAGTTAAAATTTATGTTAGATTTAATACATTTAATATCTTAAACATTCATAATCTGAGGAGAGGCACGTTCTGTGGTAGTGCTGGTTGGAGAATGATGGGTTTGTTTTATGACAGCTTTTAAGGCTTGGATGTTTTTTTCACCATGCATTAGGATGCATGCAATAAAGGAGGGGAAAAGAGTAAACCAACCTCTTGAATATTTCAGAGAGCAGAACTGTGAAGATGAAGTCTGTCTGTCCCCTTCTTCATTTGGTCTGTTTCCCCTGTCCTCTTTCTCTCTACAATTCTGTCCCACAGACACCTTCCTTCAGGTCAGAAAACTTTGAGAAGTTTTCTGCTTTGAATAAATCCGTTATTTCAATGAAATTATTCAAACTAATTAAATTCTACCACAAACTTAACAAGTCGGCCTAAAAACACTTTTACCATAGGAAAACCAGAAGTCATTTTTAAGAGCTTCCTGGAAATGAGCATATAATAAATTCAATCTAGTGTGAAGGACTATGATTGGATGAGCTTAAAAATGGAGTTCCACAATACCAATATATCAGAAATGGAAAATGCAGCCCAGAACACTGTTCTGCCATCTGTATTTCAGAGCATTTCATTCCTTTGCAGCACCCTCAACACCTGACTGCTATGCCTTTGTTCAGCAG